CCCTGGTCTGAGAAGATCCCACATGCCATGGAGCAACTAAGCCCGTGCGTCACAACTAATGAAGCCCGTGTGCCTAGAGCCCGTGCAACAAGAGAAGCCACCGCAATGAGAAGCCTGCACACCGCAACGAAGAGTAGCCCCCACTCACCGTAACTAGAGAAAGCCTGCACGCAGCAACGAATACCCAACGCAGCCAAAAAGTAAATAAAGTTAAGTAAATAAATAAATCTTAAAAAAAAAGAAGTGATCTAGAAAATGCAGAAAGTTCAGAAAAAGATCACTGTCCTGAGGCCGTCTTCACTGACGTCAGCAGCACCCTTTCTGGGCTTCTTTCTGTCCTTCCTGCATGGCAGCCCCACGCAGCTGCAGCAGGCTCCTGCCCTTTTGGGGCCGGTGTGGTCCTCAGCACACAGGCCCTTCCTGTCCTGTCGGGCCCAGGTTTCCCCCACCAGGCAGGGCCGGGTGATGCTGAGGCCAAGACCAGCTCTAACAGCTTCCTCTGGATCCAGAAACCTCAGACCACGGATGGCCCACCCTTCTGCCATCAGGCCACCTGGTGGGCGCATTGGGGATTTCCATTTCCGGAATTTCACTGCATCTGGAAAATTGGGCCAAGTGGCTCGGTGGTGGTGCCTTGAGTTCCTCTAGGTGATGAAGGTGCTGCCTGGCTGCACCACAGCCCGCGGGAAGCTGGCGCTCTCCACCCTGGAGCAGCGTCCACTAGAGCGAGTGGCATTGCACTGGCTGGTCTGTGTGATCAGAAGCCGGCTGGCAGCCGGAGCTGCATCTAATATTATTCTGGGACGTGGTGTTTCTACATCAGGGCTCTCTGGGAGGGAGCCATTGGCCTTGCATCTCAGCAGTGGCAGAATTTTACTTGTGTTTCTGGCCAATGTCTGCATAACAGGCCCATTTTCTCGCCCAGGTTGGCAGCCTGCAAAGGTAGCACCCATCAGCCTGGTCTCCCAGCTCCAGGCCAAGGGTGGGAAGGAGGCTGAAGTTTCACACTTAAAAGGGCTCGAGGGCCTTTCCCTGCAGCTGGGGTAGGTAGGGGTGTTCTTCCTGCTGCGTGATGGCATTGTGAGGA